TCAGAAGCCTAGGCAATGTAATCTTATTACATTTTAACCCATAGTACAGAACTCAAAACCTGTAAGAATTGGATTGGAATTTTTACAAGCCACTGCCCAGAATTTTGTGATCTACTTCTGGAAAGAAAAAAGCCAGCTTTTGTTTCCCTCCTGTGAACACGCAATCTTTCCAGTCTTTCAGAGCAACGCATTAGCAGACTGACCATCATTTAATTCTTGGTGCTCAGGTGTTTCCATTTTATAAAGCTCAGAGAGAATTTCAGATTGCAGCATTCCAGTTCCAAAACCAGGCAAACAAACCTGAAATTGGAATTGTCTACCAGCAGAGTTTAGGGAAAGCCTGAGCTCCTGGGAGCTTTTGTCACATGGCTTCGGTGGAAAGCCTCAAGCAGCCTGGCTGCGTCTGATTACGCTGCATGCGCCGTGGCCAAAGGAAGATGTGATAAGATCCGAGGCATGATGGAAGGCAAGATGCCACCCTGCCACCCCGACCATGGCAAACCAACCCAACTCAAACAGAGGGGCTCTCTTGGGCTCAGGGTGTTGTTTGGGAACATGAGAGACCACCTCAGCTGCACCCATGAGCTCGTGGTTGTGATGCTACACCCAGATCACATGCACAGCAGCCTTGACCCTGCTAGAGCCTTGACAGCTGCAAGTTCCCTTTTTCTGTTCCCCCCTTCCTTGCCCAGCTAACGACTCCAGTCATGCTTGGGTGAAGAAAAGGCAGTTGTTCCCCTTTTCCCCAGTTACCTACAGTGAGGAAGCACTGCATCATCTCTCCCCCAGCCAGAAAAGAGATCTGGTGTCTTTACAGCATCCCTGCAGCTTTCACTCACTTTTCTTGACCCTCTTGACCCTTCTGGAAGAGAACAATATTGCCTTTTGCTTACTGCTCCATCTTTGCCACAAGAAAAGAACTTAATATTCCTTTAGAACAGGTTATGTGCCTTGGTAATATGGGAATATGGATACAGGACACACCTTCTCTGAGTCTTCTGATATTTTCTGAAGATGGAAGTTACTAAATTTTTGTAACACCTCTGCCCAGTTAGTTGCAAAGCCATAATCAAGGTGCATTAAGAGCCAAACAACAAGGCATGCCAGAGATTTCACTTGGGCCTTTCCTGCAGCAGTGACAATGGATTCATTAGTGACTATTACTGATGGAAGAGGGACGGTCCTCTGCATTAACTTTGTTGTTGAAACCAATCAGGGCAAGATGGTTAAACACAGCAACTTCAGAAGAACTTGGCTGAAAACAAGTAATGCACTGAAAAGTTCATCTACTACCCTGCACCCGTGGTCAGTCTTACTCTGCTTCAGCTTCATCCCTTATCACTGACGAGCACTGTCGTCTGGGGTATCAAACGACAAAAGTGGAGAGAGATGAGCACACAGAAGCGATAAGAAGTCGAACCAACAGGAAATTATGAAAAGAAGTTTATTTATTTAGTAGAGGTATTTATTTAGTAGAGGTAGTTATTTATTTATGCCATTTATTTAGTAGAGGTAGTATTCTAGTGTCAAATGATGGCATCTCAACTGTTTAAGGTACCTGCTACCAAGGGGATGATTAAACCATTCCCCATGTCTGTGATGTGAGCAATACAGACAGACTAAAGCACAGAACACTTGCATGACAGCAACAGAGATGAGACATTAGGGAAAAAGTTTACTCACCTTCAACCTTGCTGAAGAAGACTCCAGACACTTTATTAATAGAAAGCCACTTATATTGATGGCTAACACTAAACATTTACCACTCTGTGTTTGCATTGCGGCATCTACTGAATATGTCAAGTCCTGAGTGTGATCATATCACTGGTATGGAAATGAAGTCCAAAAAGAGACCAAGGTTTCTATTAGTACTGAATGTTTTTAAAGAACAAACCAAGCAAAACATGCACCAGGAATCACAAAAATTAATTCACCTTACACAAAGTGGGAATCTGAGGATTCCTTATAGTCCTTTCCAGACCCATAACTCTGTGATAGTGCTATTTTGGCTTCACAGCTGTGACCCAAGGTTATATGAAGTTTCTCACCTAATGGGACAAAAAAAAAGAGACCTATTAGTACTACAGCTGCTTATATCTACAGCATCTTATGTGACTGATTTTCTACAGGTAAGTACAGAATGGTAACAAAATATTAACAAGGAAGGCTAAGAAATGAGGACTTTGGGAATATTGTGGCTGTATCTTTGCTATCCCACTTCTACATGAATTGTTCTGTGCTGGGTGCAGGTGTGAAGGTGTCCGTAGGGGAGGGCTGCAGGGGTGGCCTCCTTGGCTGGTTCCAGCAGACCCATGGAGCAGGTGCCTGCACTGCAGCCCAGGGGACAGCCCATGCTGCTTTGTTTGGGGGTTATTTTCCAATGTCACATTGGCTTGTGAGCAGTTCCATAATTTCTGTTAGAAGGAAATTGCCTTATTTCAAAAGAACAATCTTAGTGATGCTCTTATGAGGCCAGTCTGGTTTCCATCCACTCGCCATTAGCAGGTGATGATCATTTCTGCCTCATCAGCTTCTTCCCCTACATGTGTTGGCACAGTTTTCTGCAAATGAAAATCCCCCAGGGGACTTCATACAGCTCTGAAACAATTTAGCTAACTCAAATCCAAGATACACTGAGAGTCTGAATTGCCTTGTTATTATAAATAAGACCTGACTTTTCCAGGACTGCAATTATTTACCTTAAAAAGAAACTGAGAGATTGTGCACCCAACGTTGCTGAACCACAAAACCAGAGAGTTGTGCATTTCTTCTTCCAAAGACCAGCCAGCCAAAAAGAATAAATAATGAAGTACATAGGTTTCTGCATACACTAAACAGATCCATTAAAGTGGATTTATCTGCACCATTTCCCTTAAATTACAATCATGCCCTATTTCTGTGCAATTTTCTGTATTTTGTGAAATTATGTTCCTGGCAGTCGAATTGCTGTGTGGTGGCACTGTTACAGAGCGTTATGAAACTCATCTTGGGCTGAAACTGCAAGTCCTGCTGGCTCTGAGCTCTGCAGCAAAACCCCAAGAATGCTACATGGCTGAAGAGATGGTCATGTCACCTCCATCATTACTAAAACACAATAAACTTTACTAATGTTCCCTTTCACTATTTCTATGTGTTTCAGAAGAAAAAAAAAAAAAAAAAAAAAAAAGGCATGTTCACGTAATTCTTGTAATGAATAATATAAAAAGTAGGAGTAAATACAGCCTTGTCTGGTTCTACCTTTTATCTTATTGACAAGTTCCACTTTGCAGGAAACAAATACAGAGGCACAGAACCTTTGTCCCAGTTCTTGTCATTCTTGTCACCTCTGCAAGGTGTCTCACCTCTCTGTCACCTGTTATTCTCTGTCACCATTTGGATCCTCACTGGTCCCTCCCTGGAGAGCACTTCCATTAAAATGTAAAAAGTCAGATGCAGAGATGACCACAGAATGCTCACATAGCACAGCAGAATAATGCCCAGCATAAATAAGGCATTTATTTAATCATATATAAGGCATTTATTAACCCTTGAGCAACCCTTAATTTGACTAAACAATTAAAATTCTCTGGTGTTTCATTCATGTGCCTGAAAAATGAATTTAAAGACATGTTTGGAGAGAGTAAAAATCTTACCTACTATCTATCTGTTTATAGCTCTTCAAAACAGAACTTGTAAGAACAGACTTAATCTCATAATCTTTACCCAAGTGGCACAAAAGTCAATTGGTTTGAACCACATCACACATTTATTCTTTCAGAATAATCTAATTATTCTATTTTCACTGTCTCAAAAATGAAGATAAATTCCCATACCTGAATTTTTACATCTCTACAAAACAATTTCTGATATATATCGGACTTTACTAAAAATATGAGCTATGAATAAAACTGACTTGTTTGTTTAAATCACTATGAGCTCTAAGAAATTCTAAGCCTTCCAAATTATTCTGAATTCAAGGCTCACTCAAGTCTCCTGGGCCCTGTAGTTTTCAAATGTCTTTAAAAAATGCTAGTTAAACAGCATTCATTCAGTGTCAGAGAAATCTCAGGAAGACCAGCTTTTAAGCTCTGCATTTTCCCCAACAGGAGAAAAAGTTCTTTACAGAAACTGAAAATGAAGTACAGACAGCAGAACAGCCAGCTCTGCCACACTGACAAAGGAATCCAAAGGAAAGATTTCCATTTATTTTCCTTTCAGGGACAGCTGTGCTCAGCCAGTGGGCAAGGACAGGTTATGTGAATAAAAGGCTGTGCATTATTTCACGCCTTAGGTATGAATGCCAAATACAAGCTAGCCAGGAATTTTACCATTGATGTATGAGGACATTTTAAGGAGCAGTGTAACCCAGTAGGTGTTGGGACATGGGATTTCTCCTTCCTGACCACTAGAGCCCAGCACTCTTGGACTAAGGCATCTTCCATCTGAATTTGATGGATGCAGCTGCTGCTGCTTCTGCTTGGGGGCCCAGCCAGGAGCAAGCCTGAGCTCCTAATCCAAACCAGTGGATACCAAACCACACACACAGACCGACAAGGACAGAGGGAGCAGAGTCCTTCCCAGCACACACAAATGCCCTCCCATAAACCCACCCACAGCCCCATTGTCCCTCAGCTCCAGCCTCAAGCACCCAAGGTCACCAATGTGTGACACAACCCCCACAGTCTCCAGTTTCACAAGGACAACTCACTCACAGAGCCTTCAGACACTGCCACAGGATTTATCAAATACCCATGCTCAGACCCTGAGCCCCCTTATCCTGCCATTGTGGGGCTCTTTCCAAATCCGGGCTTTCCTCCTTGCCAGCTTGTCCAGCCCTTAGTTTGGCAGTGAGTTTTGGATCCCTACAGCACCTGGTTGCCCACACTCGCTACCCCACGGCTGGGCCCAGATCAAAGCCACTGTGACCCATGGCCTCTTCTGCACCTGTAGGTGTCCAGACCTTCCAATAAAACACACCCGCGCATGCTGATGCAGCACAGAAAGTAAAGTCAAGCAGAAAATCATCAAAAAAGCTTTTAATGAGAAGCTGGGATTGACTGCAACGATGAGGCAAAAGGCTGTCAGACAAGAGCAATGCTCAAGAGACATTCCTCTTTTGTCCCCCCTTCCATTTTTCCATACAAGTCCACATCCATCTCCACCCTCTCCTCCCTCTGCTCCTATCTCCTCCCAGACAAAGCACCTCTAATTACTCTTCCCCATCCATCCCAGTTTTGCCATGCTCCTACCCAAAACAGGTATTTCTGCTATTACTTGAATCCCTTACTGATACAGCATGGTGGACCTTGCAAGATCTCCCCAATCTTCCTTTCAATTATTTGTGAGGTTTGATAACCTTCCCCTTAAACATCAGTGGAATTTGTTTCCATCTCTCCCAGCAATCTGTAAATTCTGTCAACCTCTCAATGCCACTGCTGTTCAGCAATTTCTCGTATCATGAGCAGCAGTTCCTGACAGTCTTTTCAGCTGGCAAGGCCTCAGCCAGAGCCTGGACATCTGCCCACATAACATGAGGAGGTTTAATTCCAGGACAGAAACAAAATGAAGCACAGATGCACTAAATTGCCACAGGTTTAATACGTGGCAGTGCTGAAATCCTAAACTGCTCCTGCGAAACAGCTGTGATGCAGCTCATCTGCCGCAGCCAAACGTCTGGTTCCAGGTTTCATAGAGTTCCAGGTCCTTGGGGGACACGCTGGGCCGCACCGTCCTCAGGGCACTCTCAAAGTCCAGGAAAGAGATGGGCCGTACCTGCTCCGGCGTGATAGTTGCAATGTCCATGGACTGCAGACTGCGGATAGGGCCCAGAGATGCTTCCCGACAGAGCTGTGTCATGTCTGCCCCAGAAAAGCCATCGGATTTCTGGACTATGAGTTTGATTTCCTCTTCATTCAGAGAGCAGTGCTCCTTCGCCATCAGCCGGGTGACAATCTGCTTCCTGGCAGAGGCTTCTGGGAGAGGGATGTACAGTCTCTTCACCAATCTCCTTCGGGCAGCTTCATCAATTTCCTGGGGTCGATTTGTTGCTCCAACCACCAGGATACGATCTTCAGAGGAGGTTGTTGCCCCATCTAACTGCACCAGAAATTCAGTTTTTATTCTCCTGGATGACTCGTGCTCCCCCTCTCCACGCTGGGACAACAGGGAATCGATCTCATCGATGAAAATCACTGCTGGCTGCTGACACCGCGCCACAGCGAACAGTGCACGGACCATCTTCTCCCCCTCACCCACCCACTTGGAAGTCAGAGAGGAAGCACTGATACTAAAAAAAGTTGCTCCAGACTGGCATGCGATGCACTTGCCTATGAGGGTCTTGCCAGTCCCAGGGGGCCCGAAGAGCAGAATTCCTTTGGGAGGACCACGCAAGCCGGTGAAGATGTCTGGTCTCAGCATGGGCCACACCACTATTTCTTTTATAGTAGCTTTGGCAAACTCAACTCCAGCAATGTCATCCCAGCTGACTGGAGGCCCGTGGTCCATGATCTCGTGCATGATGAGTTCAACCATTTTTGGTTCTATGTTTTTCAGCCGTTCATCCACAGGCAGCAATGGGTCTGTTGATTCCCCTACACGAGGCTTACACTGTGCTCCTCCATTTTCACTTCCATCTTGCTTTGGAACTGGAGGCACAAACTTGCTGAATGGACCCCGAGACCTGCCTGCACCCAAGGATTTTTTTACTCCTCCATATGATGAGACTGGTGCACGCTGGTTTTGAGATTTCATTTGCTGATCCATCCACAGCTGTTCCTTTGCCGTTTTAAACCCAGGAGCACTGCTCTCTTCATTTCTGTTTCTCTGCCCTGAAAAACCATTAGTTTCTGTAGAAATGGAAGCCTGACATGGAGCAAGGCTAGGAATAGCTGTGCTGCCTTCATCAGCCAGACCATAGAATGCTTTTCTTTTCCCAGAATTTGCAGACCAGGCAGGTACACCTGACTGGCTGAAAAGAGACGAATTTTGTCCATCACAACAGTTACCTGGCGTTTTCAGAGAACTACTATTAGTGGCTTCTTTACTTCCAAAGAGTGGAGTTGCCTGGAAACCTGGAAGAACCTGTTTGCTTAAAGCGGCTGAAGCAGCAGGAAGTGTGTCTGAAGTTCTTGTCACAGAAGGCACACTGCTTTGAAGGGACTTGGAAGATGAGGGATGCCCAAGAAGATCTGGTCCCTGACTTGCACATTTTGCTGAGCCAGCAGTGAGCTCAGTCTCCCTGGTACTGCCAAAGACATCGAGTTTAGGAGGAGCTGGAGCAGCGGAGGCGCTGACCCCTTTATCAGCTTGTACACGGGCATCTGTCTGTGCCATCTGAGAGCTCTGGAAAATTTTGCCAGCCTGCATCCTCTCTCGCACACACTTTAATTCAAACACATTATCTGTTGTCAAGGCAGATTGCCACTTGTCACTGTCACTTTGCTGACATTTTGCCAAAGTCAAAATGTTTTCTGCATAGTTATTCAAGCCAGTCTCTGCGTTGCCAGAGTCAATAATCGCAGAGTATTTCTCTGCGTACTCCTTAAACAGGTTGGCAGCACAGACCTGGGAGATCTCGGAGTTTGCCCATGCATACTGAATGCGCAGGATCTTGGCACGGTATCCGTCTGCCTTCTGCCCGGGCGTGCAGGTGCCAGAGGTGACAGCAAAGTAACTTTCCTGCCAGTCACTCAGGTGCACTGCACTGGGGTTGGGGGCCTCCATCACTGACGCTGGAACAGACAGAAAATACCTGCAGTTATAAAATGCCATTTCACACCATTTGCACCAGCTGCTTCCTAAACTCTTACTTTCCTAAACACTTACACAGGAAAACCTACATTATTTTAACTGAGATAAACAGAGCAGGAGGTCTTGCAAGCTACTTAGCCAGTCTGGACACTTCAATCTTTTCAAAAAGCAACCAGCTCTGTGGTGCAAAGGCATTTAGACTGAGGTTCTTTCTTCTTCCTCATCCAAAGAAGGAAAAGAAAAAAGTGGGGGAAAAAGAAAAAAGAGAGAGTTTGCTTCTAACCAGAGGTCTCCTGGGGAGATAAGTAGGCTGCAAAGAATGGTAACAGATGGCCAAGCAAAAACTGGCCTTGTTAAATGAAAGCACCAGTGCTTTCATTCTTATTTGACAGAATATGGCACAGTGCAGCAGAGGACAGAGGATACACCACTCTGTCAGAATGATTTCATTTATTACAGTGATGGTAATAAAAATGACACCATTAAGCTAGTAAGTAATACTGTGTGCAGCGTCTCTGAGGAGAGATAGAAATGGAATTATTAATCCTGAATGTAGCAAGACTTCATATTAAGAAAATATTAACAGATTACCAGAAAATGTTCAAAACTAATTCTTCCATTTAGAAGGCATTAAAATGTTCCCATTTTACACTTTAGAGAAACGAAGCTCTTGCGTGTTTAAAGCAATGCTTATTTCTCAGTTTCAGAAAGCAGAATTTAAACTCCTTTAGTGTTGGGTTTCTTTTAAGAAATAGGAAAGATGACATTTGACTCAGGAGTATTTTGTTTGACTTGAAATTATTTGCTCACGTCCACAATGTATTTTCTTTCTCTGCAAAGTATTGTGTCCATATATTCTGCACCCTTTCCAACAGTGTGTGAGTCAAGTTGCAATCCCCTGGATCAGCTACGGACTGTGTAGGAGTGCAGATGAAGGTACAGGTGCAATGTTCATGCAAGGCTGGGAAGACAGAACTGAAAAAATCCAGGCTATGTGAGGTTGTCCTCCCTAATTATTTGCAAAAAGTCTGGCATCAGCATTAGACAACAGAGAGCACAATATGATTATCGCTCATATGCCTATATGGCTGCACATGTGATAAATAATCAGGATGTCAATAATTTTTGCTTGAATATTTTTTTCACTACAGCCAGATTTGTAGTGCTATTTAGAAAAGTCAAAATACATTTTACCTGCAAATCTGGCACTTCTACAAGCAAATCCAATTAAAACAAACAAAGCCAGACCACAAAAGCAAGACTTTCCAAAAAGTTACTGCCAACTTTTGCACCATGAGAAGTGTAACTTGCACCTAGAGAATGTGATTCAAACTCACATCATCATCCATCCATAGCTGAGTGACAGAACAGGAGTTAAAAGGCTGCAGCCTTTTACTTCTTTTCTCTAAACGGCTTTCACTATGCACATAATTTTTTTTTGTAACTGTTGAATCAAAAAGATCAAAAGTGTCATAAAAGCATAAATTCAGGAAAAGTTTAATAGCAGGTATTTGCCCCAATGAAATACCTATAGTTTAGACCATAAAATCTCAAGTTAGTTCACCACCACTTTCTTAAGGAGTCAATGGTCACCTTCATAGCATTGAGGGAAGGTCGTAACAAGTGAAGAGTGGCAACCAGTTTGAACTTTGTTCTTTTTGTTCACAGAATCACAGAATGGAGAAGGTTGGAAGAGACCACAGTGGTCATCTGGTCCAACCTCCCTGCTCAAGCAGGGTCATCCCAGCACACATGACACAGGATTGTGTCCAGACAGTTCTTGAGTATCTCCAGTGAGGGAGACTCCAAAGCCTCTCTGGGCAACCTGTGCAGTGTGGTCACTACCAGAGGAGAAAAGTTCTTCCCCATATCCAGGCGGAGCTTCCTATGCCTCAGTTTCTGCCATTGCCTTTTGTCCTATTGCTCGGCACCACCAAGAAGAGCCTGGATCCACCCTCTCGACACTCACCCTTTAGTTATTTATATACATCTTAAACACCGTCTAGCATCATTCTTTCCCCCATGTCTAATCCATATTAATTGTCCTCATAGCCGTACAACTTCTCTCCAAGAGAGCCACTTGCACACACGTTCAGTTCCCAGACGAGGGGATCGCACTCGGTGTGCACGCCTGAAGCGGGGGGTGTATCCCAGCACGGCCCCCGATGGATGCGGCTCTCGGGGGCGCGCTCGCCTCAGGGCGGAGCGGCGGGAGCTGCTGCTGCCGCCACACACGAGCACGCCGAGCGCGGGGCCCAGGGAAACACAGCGAGCACACCCACCCTCCACTGCCCTCAGGAACCCAGCCGGGAAGCCACCCGGCCATGGCTGAGCCCTCCACGCCCCTTCCCAGCCGGCAGCCACGGCCCTTCAGCTTAGGAGCCCTGGCCGGCCCGGCGGCGGGCGGGTGCCCCCTGAGGGCACCGGGAAGCGGAGGCCACAGCCCCGAGCGGGTCCTGCGGCCCCCTCCCCTCCCTTCCCTTCCCTTCTCCCCTGCCTTCCCTTCTCCCCTGCCCTGCTCCCCCGGCCCGGCCGCGCTGCTCCCGCTCCCCGCACCCACCGGCCGCCGCCACCGCCAGCCCCGCGCGCCCGCTCTGCGCTCGGCCCCGCCCCGCCCCGCCCGCCAATCGGGTAACAGCGCTCCGGGAGACGCAGCCAATCAGAGGCCAGGAAGGGGGGCCGAGTGGGAGAGGGGCGGGCTCGTAGCGCTTCGTCACCCGCAGCGCTGGGAGGGACGGCGCGCGGCAGGGCGGGCGCTCCCTATTGGCTGCGCTTGAGGCGCGCTCTGTCCAATGGGTGCGGGGTCCGCGCCTTGGGAGGCGGGACCGGCCGCGCGCCGAGCGCCGCCCCACTGTGGGGAGCGGCGGGTCCCCCCGGATCCCTCCGCGTGTTCCCTGAGCTTCCGTCCCGAGTCCCCTCGGCTCCCCCACCTCCTTCCCGAGTCCTTCCGCGTCTCCCGCCGAAGACGCTGCCGACGGCCTCGGGCGCTCCCCTGGTGCCGGTGTCTAGGCTCTTGCGCCTCGCCAGCCCTGCTCGCACGCTTCGGAAGAACCTTTCTGGTCAGGGCTTGGTTCCTCAGCTGGAGGTCAGAGCAGCTGAGAAGGGAGAGGCTGGAGAATGTCACAGGTTCTGTCACGTTTATTGCCTGTCCGGGCCATTTTCAGTAGCAGTAGAAAATTGAAAGGGAGATGTGCAATTTCCGTGAGGCAGAGAAGTTCAGTGTGACTGAAGGAGCGGAATTGCTGTGGCTGTTCCTGTGTCAAACTCGCCTTTAGCTGCCGCAAACAGCGGAGCGGGCACCTCCCATCAGCATTCCTGGCTGCCCGGCCTTTGTGCCTCTCCGTGCCCTTGGCTCGGCTCACAGGCAGTCCCGGGCTGTGTCCTTGGCAGCAGCCCTCCCTGCAGGATGGGCTCCGCAGGAAGTAAGTTCCACGAGTGATGGCCCAAGCACAAAGCACTAACCCTAACCTTAACCCTGGTGGTGACTTCGCAGCCAGTGGTGGGTACCTGGCCCTTAGGCACACAGGCACTTGACCTCCACGGCCACCTATTTCATCTCTAGCTCTGAGACACCGGCTGCGGGGCCACCACGGCAGTGTCAGAAGGGCACGCTGTCTAGCACTCCTGGAAACAACAGCTGCTGCACAGGCCTGTTTGGGAGAACAGCTCTGACAAGGACAAGATGAATGGCACACTCTTATACAGGGCAAAAGATGGTGGGCCATGTGGAAGCATCCCATGAATTGATTGTGGTGTTGGAGTCCCCATCTGGATCACACCAACCCACGTTCAAATTAGCACACCAACCTAGATGCAAATTAGCACTCTAAGCTGCAGTTACACCTCTGGTATTAACAGAGATGCTTCTGTGTGGGTGAACATTTCATTTCCCTGAGAAGCCTTTCCTGCAGTTACTGTCAGGTTTTTGTTATACATCAGGCTTGTTATGCCATTAATGCAGACAGCACATTAAACTGTCTGTGCTGGCATGCAAGCTATCATCTCAGACCCAACTGGGCTAACATTTAAATAGTGTGTGACACTGCTGCCATCAAATTTCTCCCAAGGCACGCTTGCCCGATTTCCCTGGGATTGCAGAGTCAGGGAGCAAAGCAGCCTTGGGGACATGGGCTGCAGCCAGGCAAGACTGATATCATGGACCCCTTCCCTGTCCTACTGGATGGCACCGGAGCTACAAACCAAAGCCGAAGTTGGGCATGTGGCTCCAGCGGCAGATGCAGCTGCAGTACTGTGCAGAACTTGGCAGAAGGGTCGGCACTGGCCCTGGATATGGCCAGGTATTTTTCAGACTCCTGTTGCTGAGGAGGAAACTTCCTGCAGAAAAATTTGCAAACTCCCATTTGCAAAGTGATTTGAAGGACACATTGAAAAAAAGTCCTTGGTGGTGAAAATCAGGGCACTGACTTGATATGAGTGGGAAAGCTGGGCCTCTTACAGTGCATCTGGCATGAATGAGATGAGACAAGAGAAAAAAGATGAGGTGAGAAAAACTCAGTTAAGTACACAGAGACAATAGCTGTAGTTTTGTTTTGGTTTATTTATATTGCCAATTAGGTTTTGGGTACAAATTTTAAAGGGAGTCAACAGCTCACAAGTTATAATTAGAGCATTGGACTTCTGATTATTTTTCCACTTAGAACATACAAACTCTACATATGCTATACAGTTATCATCCATTGATGGTTATTTAACCTGCCCTCACCAACCAACTACCCAGGTCTTCAGGACTCTCAGTTTTATTTCTCTTTTGCTTCTGTCTTTGAGCAATTCAAGTTTATACATCTCAAGGTTTAGACTGCTGTTGTAAGGCAACTTCAATGTGATTACTGCTTATCACATATGGTGATGAGTAGTACTTTGACAACAACAAAACAACAATGAGCAGAATCTTGTATGTAAACACAAGAAAAAATTAAAAATGTAATAATTATAATGCAGTTCAGAGTATAATATATTACCAATACTTTCATAAATACATACATTTTTATTATTTCACCATCAGTAATAAAATATAATCTGTCATTAAGAATGTAAGTACTGTAGTCTGCTAGTTTAAAAAAAATAAATTGAGGCTCCTGAATGTAAAAGTCAGGTTTTTCCCTCCTTCTCTAATAGTCATGGTCTTCCTTGAGATGTGGATATTCTACTAAAGTACAGTTCTGGGATTTTAAAATTATTTTTAATATCAAACAGTATTCACCAGCAGAGGCTGTATTAGCTTTTGCACACAAGGCACAATAAATCCAGATTAACATTAACTATTCATAAATACAGTGTTTCTCACAGATACATTACAAAGCTACAGAACAGAAACAGCAGTTATGTGCTTTTTTAAAATATTCCTTTCAATGCTTCTTCTTGAGTTGATTACACAGCCCATATTTCCTTTTCAGATAACCTAATGTTAATAGTCTAAGAAAGAATTATCACATGGAGAAAAAAAGGTATGAGAGAGAGAATACTATGTAGGCCTTCACTGGTTAAACATATTTGAATTGTTCTAGAATTTCAGAAAAACGAGAACCGTGAACTTGAGGTTTCTGTACTGGGCTAGCCAGGGGGAAATGTAATTCCATGGGTCTCATAACTGCTGTTTATTAGACAGATTTACTAATGTCACTTCTTTAAAAACAAAAAAAAACCCAAAAAAAAACAAAAAAACAAAAATGAACTTTTACTCCATCTGTATTTTAAATTAGCCTTTATCTTCTATTCTTTGCCAACAGGAGTTTCTGTATCTGGACAACAGCCACTTCTTAAACTGATATCCAGGTATTGAAAAATGTTTAATTGAATGTCAGTTTTGGCAGTATTTTCCCCCAAACGTCTAAAGGTATCTATGTCTAATTGTGGGTTGTTGAGGACATTTCACCTCTCCTAGGTTTGGGTGTGCATCCTGCCTGCATCCCAGTTTTACAGCAGTTTGAGACTCACACAGGCAGGCATCATTCATCTCTGCTCTGGTTTCCATGGAGCAGATTTCCAGCAGAATCTTCTTATGTTCAGTTTAGAGGTGCCTTACCTTATGCCTTTGTTTTCCAATACTTATTAGTCAGATTTTTAATTTCAATTATAGTCACCTAAGCCCAGAGCAACTCCATTTCATTTCAGTGGAATTATCCTGGATTTACTCTGTGATAGCTTTGATCCAAAGCTATTTTTTTTTTTTTTTCCCCTGGACAATCCTGGTTATATATGTCACATACAAAATACTGGTCTGTCTCACAGAGAATGTGTAATTCTTTGGCTTCAAGGTTCTAGAGTTTTCATAGTGTAAAAGTTGTAAAATTTTATCAGTGTGGAAGATAACGTGTTATGGATGAACACTCTTTTCCAGGTCATGAGGTCTGAATTACGTTGTTTAAGAAAATAGAAACAGAGAAAGGAAATAACTACCAGCATTTTCCACTCTCTTCAGTCTACCAATCTACTGCATTGTGCTACCACAGAAAAGTTGAATTTCATATTGGTTCTGCTGAAGAGAATGATGCTATCAAAATTTCTGTCACTGTAGCTAACAGTAGTGTCTTGTGTCAGTCACCTGCTCAAGTATTACTGCGCTTTACCAAATTCATTGGTTATCCCTTTCTTGATCTGTTACCTGGGAAATCAGTTCCTTATGGAAATAGCAGTCCTTCCCAGTTTGCACCCTAGAAGTGAGAGATTAGGAAAGGCAGAGGTAGGAGCAGATCATGTGCCAAACTGTCCTGATCTATTTTCCCTGGTCTACTTGCAACTTTCCAGCTGTAGGAAGTTTACTTGAAAGGGATTGAAGAAGAAAGCTGAATAATTGTGCACATTGCTCAAGAGGCTGTAGAAGTTAATATGAGCATTAAAAAGGAAGATTGAAATGCAAATGTAGAAATTAATCCTACATATTATTTTTCTTGGAGCAGCCACTTATGTTGTTCTTATTTACACAGAAATAACTGTCTGGAATTTATGTTCTTAAAATGACAAAAGTACTTTGTGACTTGATATTCTTCTGACTTTCACCTCCAACTTTCATTTTAGCTCTTTACTATGTCTGCCTTTGACAGGATGATGAATCAATGGTTTGTGTCAATATATATATGATTTTACTTTCTCAGAAAGACGTTTTCCAGTATGTTCATTTTCCATTCATCACTGTTTATGGAAGAAAACCACTGATGGGGGCACCACAGCTGGTTTTGGGGGTTTGTTCTTTTACTTCCTGTTTTGATGTCACTTGCTTACTCGTTTGCTAGCTAATTTGAGAAACTAAGAGTAGTATTTTTGACATCACATTCCTTAGCACATTTTGGCAAAGATTTATTACACCATGAAGTAATCAAAATGGTAGCCATAAAAACAAATCACAACTCAGTTTCACAGAACATATCTTACAGACTATT